CTCTGCCAAGGACTAACTTTGATAAATGCTGCATTGTGCAGTGGCAATCGGGGTTGGCTCCACAGGAAGCCCAGGGTGCCTGACAACTCTGGGGAAAGCTGACTCAACTCCTTCATCTGGAAGATGCTGTCTCCTGCCCTCCCAGCATGCATTTCAGCTTTTCTCTTGGTATCCATTTGCTTCTCAACCTGTTAGAAATGCAGATTCTGCAGCGAGGGAAGCAGGAACTGGCCTGGCTACTTGGTTTACAGAGGACTGCCATGGCCCGTCTTCTGTCTGTAAACATCACCACCTGAGTGGCTTCTCGACAATGCTTGCTCACTGTGGTGTGTCCAGCATTGTGGCCATGTCCCACGTGGATGGTGACATCTGTGTGTAGTGTATACTGATGTGTGGCCCAGGTCCCCTTCAAGGAAGGGCTGGGGTTTCAGGCAGGGACAGCAGTCAACCTCCAACTGTCAAGCCCAGGGGGTGTGGGTCTCCCCTGTGCAGATGGTACCCTTCCTCAAGCTCCTGCTTCACCCCAGGGAAGCCCTCTGGAGACTGTAATGTGGGACAGCAAAGGCCTGGCCATCCCATCCCATCGTGGCACATCTGTGATGGCCATCTGGCTGTGGGTATTGCTGGTCCACTTGCTGGCCTGGCTCCTCCAGTCCTTTCCTGTTCCTTCCTGCTCAGGGCCACTCCAAGACAAGCACCACACACAGGCACAACTGTTCTTTCTCCAGGTGAGGACTGGGGCCCAGAAGTGCAGGAGGGGTCCAGACCTGCAGCTAAAAGCAAGGAGACATGGATGGAAGCCCCACAGACTTCCTAACATTGGAGCAGCGCAGCTGGATTGAAGAGGGTCCAGGGATGGCTCAGCAGGTAAACGCACCTGCTGCCAAGCCTGAAGACCTGAGTTCAACAGCCAGGACTCACATGGTGGAAGCAGGGCCAACTCTCACGTGTCCCCTGACCCCTGACTTCTGCATGCAGTGGTGCAGCACACCCCCACCCCAATGTAAATTTAATTGTTTTTTTTTTCAACATCTGCCTGCTGAGTGTGGGGGACGAGGGGCCAGGCAGGAGCAGGAAGCCCCGGGAGGAAGTCCTGGTGTTCAGCAGGGACCAGGGGCCCCAGGGCCATCAATAGGACTTCCCCATCACTGGGGCTGCCCCACAGTCCAGCCAAAGTGCTCACCCAACATCTAGGAGAGGGTCGAGTGAAGAAGGGGAGGGGTGAGAAACTGGGGCAGGAAGAGCCATCTACTTATGTCTTGCTTGTGGCACTGAGTGACCACTGGTGTCTGAGTGCGGATGATCAGAAGTGGCATCTACTCAGCTGGGCTTTCAGTGAGTTCACCTGATGAGCAGGTGTAAGGGAGGGCAGGGAACAATGGCAAGCAGGGGAGAGGGCAACAAGGAGGAAAGGAGAGTGTCAGAAGGGAGAGGAGGAGAAGGGAGGGGAGGGGAGAGGTCAGGATGCTTTTAGTCGTCTCTGCCTGCTCCAGTGATGATAACATGCAACCTCTGGTGGCACAAGACAGGCACTGTCTTGGAGTCAGATCCCCGAATCAAGACTCCAGTTGCAAAAAAAAAAAAAAAAAAAGCCGGGCGTTGGTGACGCACGCCTTTAATCTCAGCATTCGGGAGGCAGAGGCAGGCGGATCTCTGTGAGTTCGAGGCCAGCCTGGTCTCCAGAGCGAGTGCCAGGATAGGCTCCAAAGCTACACAGAGAAACCCTGTCTCAAAAAACAAAACAAAACAAAACAAACAAAAGACTTCAGTTTCCCAAATTGTTGGTGAGGAGCTGCTAGTGAGGGGCTTGTCCATCGGGGCTGGGTGGGCAATGACACCCCGATGGAAAGGCAGTGAGGTGCTTGCCTGCATTCAAAGTTAATCAGGCGCTGAAAGTTCAATAGACAATTTAAATCTTAAAAATCAAATTGGGCTGGGTGGTGGTGGCGCCCGCCTTTAATCCCAGCACTCAGGAGGCAGAGGCAAGTGAATCTCTGTGAATTCCAGACCAGCCTGGTCTACAAGAGCTAGTTCTGGGACAGCCTCCAAAGCCACAGAGAAACCCTGTCTCGAAAAACAAAAAACAAACAAACAAACAAATCAAATTGGGAGGCAGGTGTGGTTGTGCACACCTTTAATCTCGGCACTTGGGAGGCAGAGGCAGGTGGATCTCTGTGAGTTCCTTCCTGCTCACAGACCAAAGCCAGCCTGGTCTACAGAGTGAGTTCCAGGATTGCCAGGACTACACAAAACAAAACAAAACAAAACAAAACAAAACAATCAAATTGGCCAAGTATGGCTTACGGCAGCTCACAGCCGCCTGCTTTTGTAAAGCCTTCCTGGAGTATTAACACTGGCTGTTGCTTTTGAAGTTACAGTTCACGCCCCGCCCCCACCTCCACAAATGGGGCCTTCCCAATACAGTAGCACTGTGTGGCCATGGCCCATTCATCTCACTTACAAGCATACTGTTCAGGAGGCACCTACCATGCCGAGTTTTAAAGGGCCAGTCGATATTTATGGACCCAAGGACTGGTTGCAAGAGCAGTTACAGCAGAGGAGACACTGGCCCCAACCCTCTCAGGGTTAGACATGTGTTGGTGTGCTGCTGGACATCCCCGGCCCTGCCACTCAGGGACTTTAAGCCCGCCTTCATTCCTCTGTGCCTGTTGCCTCCTGCAAGATGCTTTTATTATTATTATTTTTAAATGTTATTTATTTTTACATCCCAGTCACAGTTCCCTGTGGCTCCTCTCGTCCCAGTCCCTCTCCCCACCCTGCCCCTTCTGTTCTCACTCCCCCACCCCAATCCACTTCTCCTCCGTTTTTGTTTAGGAAAGGCAGGTCTCCCATGGGTATCAACAAAACATGGCCTATCGAGTTGCAATAAGACTAAGAACCTCCCCATGTATTAAGGCTGGGCAAGGCAACCCAGTATGAGTAGGGTTCCAAAAGCCAGGATAAGACTTAGAGACAGCACCTGTTCCCACTGTTAGGGAGTCCCACAAGAGGACCAAGTTATACAACTGTAACATATGCAGAGGGCCTAGGTCAGTCCCATGCAAGCTCTCTGGTTGTCAATTCAGTCTCCTGAGTTTTCTTGTGGTGTCCTTGACCTCTGGCTCCTACAATCCTTTCTCCCTGTCTTCTGCAGGGTGCTCTGGGCTCTGCCTATCCTTGGCTGCCAGTCTGCATCTGTTTCTCCTGTAAGATGTTTTAACATGTGCGAAGATCTTAGCGACTCTCAACTGGGCTAGTGCTGTCAAACCTGGGGTTTGAGTCCCAGCCACCACTTCAGGTGACCCAAGGACAGATCTCACAAATGGGTTGGGCTTTGCACCAAGCTGTTAACTCACCCTAGCAAACACTTCCTGTTCCCATGTAGACTGAGGAACTGGAGCTGCGCAGGTCTCCTGGGCCCTTTGACACTCCACCCCTGAGCTCACCGGCCAAGGAGGACTGGGTGCCGATGGACTGAACCCCTGCTGGGGCATCTCCTGGGCTCATCACCTCCAGCACCAGCCCCTCTCCCTCTCGACACTGCCAAGATTTGTCCTCAGTGCTGTTACCACCATTAGAGCCACACTGCACTGGGTGTCCCTGGGTCAGGTAGTTCACTTCATGCTCACCACTGCTTCTCCCCAGGTCACTGCCACAGATGCGTGGATGAAGCAGCAGCCTTGTGGATTTCAAGTGTCCCACTTCCACGCCTGCCTCATAGCTCTCCATATGCCAGCAACCAACACACCCTAAGAGGATGAAGCTGTCACCCTGTTTAAAACCCTAGGAGGGGGCTGGAGAGATTCGGTTAAGAGCACTGGCTGCTCTTCCAGAGGTCTTGAGTTCAATTCCCAGAAGCCACACGGTGGTTCACAACCATCTGTAATGGGATCTGGTGCCCTCTTCTGGCCTTCAGGCACACATGCAGGCAGAACACTATCCATAATAAATAAATCTTAAAAAATAAAAACAAACCTAGGAGGTCCATGAAGAAAACTATCTTGATAGGGCACCGGGCATGAACCGGCCTTGCCCATCTCACTCATTTTCTGCTCCTCCTCCTCGCTGGCCTTGTCTCACAGGACTTCTCACCAACTTAGCATGTGACCATCCTTCCCCTGGAATGAGCTCCTAAGTTCCTAAATTGCTGGTTTTCTTCACACCTTCCCTCACCACTGAGCTGGTTATGTGGCTATGCATTGTGTCTACAAGAAACGAAGTAGAGCCTCCCAGCTCCTCTCAACTCTCCAAGACCAGCACAGTGAGCATTAGGATCTGCTGTGTGTGTGTGTGTGTGTGTGTGTGTGTGTGTGTGTGTGTGTGTGTGTGCATGCATCAGTCATTTCTCCATGCAACCACCCTTACTGTATGTGAGGAAACTAAGGCAGACCACCTCAGTCATGTTGAAAATGTTACTGCCATCTCCTCTGGCTCTTAGAAGTCTTTGAAGATGTTAACACCAATTGGTGTCTTATAAAGTCCACCATATCCATGGTCTCACTTCTTGCCCTGTCAGTAGAAAGCCTGGTGTGCTGGCTCACACATGCTCACTCAGCCACTGGGGGGGTGCAGGCTAGCTTGGGTTAGTTTTAGACCTTATCTCTCAAAAAAATACTGAAACTCAGTGAAAGAAGGCTGGCAAGGGCACCTCTGGCTTTTTGTGATACCTAAGCTAGCAACCTCTGTCCAGCCCACCACCCACCTATAGTGAAGACATCCTGAGAGCTGGCTATGAAAACTCCTGGCACAGAACATGGCAAGCAGTAGCAAAGCAGGCAATAGTAATCTGTATTAGTAACAGCTACCCAGGAAGGGACAGCATCCTCTACTGGCCATCTGTCACACGCTACACACTCTGGCAGCAGCAGTTTTGGTGAATGGAACACAGTCCTGGTCCGGTTAGAACCCAGCTTTCAGACTCTGCCCGAGATAGACCAACTCCTTCACTCCATGGGCTTCGAACCTACGGATACGGAGCAGTAAAAACCCACACGCTGGAGTACTAGTTTCTCATCTTTTTATTACAAATGTCAAAATATGTTTTAAGAATTTATCCTCACTATTTGTAATTATGTGTATATGTGTTTGGGAGGAGGGGTGTATGCACATAAGTAAGGTGCCCGAGGAGACAGAGGCACTGGCTCCCTTGGAGCTTGAGAGCTGGAAACTGAACCAGGGTCCTTTGGAAGAATGAGCACCACAAGGCCACCTCTCCAGCCCCTCAAAAATCACCTTTTATAACGAACTCCAAACACAACCATGTAAAAACACACACCTGAAACAAGCTTCGGAAAGCAGTCCACTGTGTCCCAGAGTCTATTCTGTTCTGGGAAAGTGAGGGTTATATCCCACTAAACTGGTTTTAGCAGTCTTCGTACAGGAAACAAACCCCGACCAGGTTAGAGGGCAGAGAGAGAGAGAAATGCTAGCCCAAACCGAGTCCCCATTTATCCCTCAGGACTAGAGTATTGTTCTCAGCTCAATGCCACCTGCCATGCATGACGTCCACAAGCCACTGTTTGGGGGAAAGCCTGTTGGACTGATCTGAAACACCCTGTTCTAGGGGAGTGGGGTGCATCTCGGTTGGCAGAGTGCTTGCCTAGCATGTGTGAGCCCCTGAGCATTGATGAACCAGGTATGAGAGCACACGCCTACACTCCAGGGGATGCAGGAGATCAGCTCACGGTTATTCATCCTCACACAGCAAAGCTGAGGCCAGCCTGGCCTACTCACCCAGTTCTGCCCCAACAGGCCTTATGTACATTAAGCTTCCGAGAACAGTGGAACCCAGGTGACAGTGGCACAGCACCACTGTGCCAGGCCACTTAACAAGGACAACACAGCCTGAGGTCCGGCCCCGCCCACAGCATCCTCACTGGGAAACAGTCAGCAACTCTGCTACCCCACCATGGAGCGCTTTCTCCCTCTCAGGCGCACTTCATCTAACTTCTTCAGCACTGGACTGGACTTCCTGGATGAAGCACCATAGCTCTTCAGGCAGGCTTCAAACACAGCCTCGGTGTGGGGGTGGGTGCTGAGGAAGGCCTTCTCCAGGACGTAGAGGTCCACGCCTTTATCTTCTGGCAGTCCAGAAACAAAGCTGAGCCCGAAGTCGATGAGGATGATGTGCAGCTGCTCCAGGGGCCGTTTTAGGAGCATGTTGGAGGTGGTGAGGTCCCCGTGAATGAGGTCTTCATCATGCATCCTAGCCAGGGTCTGCCCAATTCTCCTGGCCAAGCCCAAGAGGCACTGGGGGTCGTTCTCAGTCTCCATGGTGGACTGAATATAATCTCTTACAGTCACTGAGTCTTCGATTTCCTCCATATATAAGCAGTTAGAAGCATAGTCCACGAAGAAGACAACCGGGGCAGCTATCCCTGCAATGGACACACACACGGTTAGCAAGTATTTTCTTTATGAAGGCAGGCTTCATTTGCACGGGTGGAGCCAGGTTTTCAGTCTAAATCTACTTACACTGGAACAGGGTTTAGGAATACTATGGAAATGATATAACCTAGCCCGAAGTTCCCCTGCTCAAGCCCTGCAGGACTATTCCCTGAGCCCAGCCGAGGATACGTCTACAAGTATCAAAGCTTGCTCCCCCTTTCTCAAGTCACCTCAGGAGAGGAATTCACTGCTACTCCCTAAAAACAAAACAAAATGCAAAAACAACAACAAAAACCCCAAGAAGCCAGAAGGGAAAGCATCCTCCAGTCTGAGCAGCTTCGACCTGACTAGCAGGAGGCTAAGCAGCATGCCATCTTAGACTATCTTTGCTCCAGAACAGGCAGGTTCGAATCCCAGCTCCGTCCTTATTAGTTGTGAAACCTCAAGGTTCCATTAGCTTCTCTGTATCTCAGTTTCCGATACCGTCATGGTGGTAACAATAGCTCCAATTAATTCCAGGAGTCTCTCCCAAATGTCAGCTATGTTCAGGACTCTTTCCTAGAAACTAGAGACCTGCCAGTGGGGATCAGTGTAGCCACCGTCCCTGTCTGATAAAACTTATAAAAGAAGGTGAAACAGAAAATATGTACACTACTTTATAACTCCATTAACTCTGCTAGGGCAAGAAAATACAGGCTGTCGAGTTTCCCCAGACTGCCCAGCACCCATCAGAGTCCTGGTGTGGAGTAGACACCTAAAAACCAGCAAGTGTAAAAAGCAAAGGGTCTGTGCTTCTAAGATGCAGACAGCCCTCCTGGTGGCTGTGGAACCTGAGTCACTTTCCCTTTGTGCCTCGGTTTCTCTGGAGGGCAGTTTTGTTAGTTAAAATGTTGTTTTTAAAGAAAAAATGAATCATTTAATGAAATCAGACTTTATTGAATGCTTTGTCAGCATGCAAACATGTGACTCTCAGACCTTCTCTAATGGTCACAACATCCCTGAGATTCCCATCGCATACTAGGAAACTGAGGCGCGCGCGGGGGCGGATGGGGGGGGGGAGGACACGACTCGCTGAAGGACCACGCGGGAAGCAGCGCTTAGAATCTGAATCCGGAGAGCCTGTCAGGGCACCTGCGGCTTCAAACTACCAAATGGAGTGTGGAGGACGGTGAGCGGAAACGGTAGGAACGGGGAAACTGAGGCGAAACCACGAGATAATAACAGACAGCTGCGGAGCTGTGTGCTGAGTCCTTTAAGCATCGCCG